TTTAGGTTTTACGTTTTAGGGTTTAGGGTTTGGGGTTTTGGGGTTTTGGGGGTTTACGGTTTAGGGTTTAGGGTTTAGGGTTTACGCTTTACGGTTTAGGGTTTATATGGGTTCAGGGTTTACGCTTTACGGTTCAGGGTTTATAGGGTTTTGGGGTTTAGGGTTTAGGGTTTAGGGGGTTTGCGGTTGTGGGTTTAGGGTTTAGGGTTTTTGGGTTTAGGGTTTTGGGTTTGCAAGGATGCTCCTTCTTCATGGTTCTCTGCCCGGTCATCAGCTGCGACGCCCAGTTCAAGGTCTTCTCCTATGCAGCTCGGACGTTCCCCAAACAAAGGGTTTAGAGTTTAGGGGTTTAGGGTTTGGGGATTTAGGGTTTAAGGTTTAGGGTGTGACCAGACGCCCCCAAAGATCCAAAATGTAGATCCCTTAATGGGGGTTTACCAGAAAGTACCCCTTAAGTAGCACAGGGTCCCAAATTCGGGGATCTACTTTTTTTGGATCCTTCCGGGGGTCTGGGTTCTGAGAAACCCACACAAGGCCGGGGGACTTAGTAAGTGGTGATAAGTACACCGACATAAGTACCCAGAAGGTTCCGTAAACGGCTCCTTAAAGTGATTCCTAAAGGGATCTATATGGGAGGTATGGGACTATGTAGGCTGTAGACCTACATGGGGGTTTCTAGGGCTTTGGGTTACTGACTTATTGTGTTTGGATTGTGGATGCTTGGTTTTAGGACTCTTAGGGTTGAAGACTTATAGACTGCACAGACTTCTGATTGAATTACTCCCTGTCAGCCTGTCTGTAGAAAGGATCTGATCGCGGGATCCTGTGTGTTTGGATTTGTTTTTCCCCAAACCCTAAACCCTACCCAAGCCCTAGAGAATAGTAGGTTAGGACCCTTTTTTTATTATAGGGTATAGCCCTCAAAACAGTAGGTACTTGGAGCCACTGGTAAACCCCAAGCCCTAAACCCCAAACCCTAAACCCTAAACCCTAACCCTTGGAGCCACTGGTAAACCCTAAACCCTAAACCCTTCACCAAATCCTGGGCCCCGTCATGAACCAGCTGTTTACACGACCGGCTTGCAGACTGAAGCTGAAACCCATGATGCTGTTTTGGGCTTAGCGTTTAGGGTTTAGTGTATGCTCTAGTGTTTCGGGTTTAGTGCTTTAGGCTTCAGGGTTTCGGGTGTAGTTTCGTGTTTAGGGTTTAGTTTAGGGTTTAGGTTTTCGGGTGTAGTTTAGTTTTTAGGGTTTAGTTTAGGGTTTGAAATTTCGGGTTAAGTGTTTAGGCTTTAGGGTTTCCGGTTTAGTTAAGGATTTAGTTCAGGGTTTAGGGTTTCGGCTTTAGTTAAGGGTTTAGTTTCGGGTTTAGGGTCGAGGTGCGTCTTAACTTGCCTCCCCGAAACGGTGCTGAGGCTGGAGCCTGCTTGTGCGAGGAAAGAGACATGCATACCTACATACATACGTATGTACGTACATACATACACTGGCCCTAAACCCTTAACTTTTAACTTTTAAAGGAACCCTTAAAGGATTCCTAAACCCTAAACCCTAAGGAACCCTAAACCCTTAAAGGAACCCTAAACCCTTAAAGGAACCCTAAACCCTTAAAGGAGCCCTTGTCACTGGCCACATTCATTAGAATCCCACCACCCAGACCCCCGGGAGGATCTAAAAAGTAGATCCTTCGATTTGGGACCCTAACTACTAAAGGGTTCTATGTAGGAACACTCTTAAGGGATCTATTTTCTAGATCCTCCCGGAGGTAAACCCTAAACCCTAAACCCTAAACCGACGTACATACATACACTGGCCAGAATCATTAGAGTCCCCACCATGAACGTGTTTTTCCATTTTGCAAGGCGAGCTGGGCCGAAAGAGGCTGGTGCCGCGCCGAACGCGCATGCCTTGAGCTTAGTCCTGGTTTCCCAGACCCCCGGAAGGATCCAAGAAGTAGAACCCCTAATCTGGGACCCTATACTACTAAGGGCTCTGTATAGGAACCCCCATTAAGGGATCTACTTTTTGGATCCTTCCGGGGGTCTGGGTTAGGGATATAACCCCCAGAGCCCAAAACCCTTACACCCCTGGGGCTGATGAAAGTAGATCCCTTAAGGGGGTTTAGGGTTTAGGGTCTAGGGGGGTTCCTATAAAGTATACCCATTTGTAGTATAGGGTCCCAATTTCGATTTCGGGGTTTTGTTTGCTAGATCCTCCCTGGGGTCTGGGTTTTGGTCATTTATGCAGTTTGTCTCGGTTCAAGTGAAGTATGGATAGCATTGGATAGCATGAGCATTTTTACATTCACTCATTTTGGCAATGCTGCCATTCCGGTGAGGATCCAAAACAGTACAGAAGCGTGGGATTTGAATAGGTTTAAGGTTGTCTTCATTGAAGACCTGTTCATTGGGGTTCAGTAGTGGCTCACTCGCTCATCAAGCACGGACCCCAACTGCATGCACTGAAGTGATTCTGAGGGTGTCTCCGTCGAATTTAGTTGGCTCAGGTCAGAACAGCGAAAAGCCCTGAGGCTCTAAGGCCTCATATTTTAAGGCTTTTGGGGCCCAAAGACCATACTTTGTTCATACTTTGCTCAGACCTAGATACCCACCCCTGAGGGTCTAAGGATTCATATTTTAAGGCTTTTGGGCCCAAAGACCATACTATATAAGGCTTTTGGGCTATTTTGAGCCTTAAGGAAGAGCGTGAACAATAAGTTGCATGTCTTTAACTAGGTGGCAACTTGGGAAACTTTAAAATTTCCCTTATGGTTTCTAAAGAGGTACCTATTCATAAATACTTTTCAGGGCCCTAAAACTGCAACCCAGTTAAATCTCAGAGCTTCAGAGCTTCCCAGTGCACAAGAGAATTACGGCCCATCAAATGTTAACATGCTGCAAGGATGATTCGGTTGATGGACAAAATCCTGCATGACCTTATATACCTAAACTATGGGATTTATTGTACTATACTATATTTGGGTCATGCAGAATTTTGTCCATCAACAGTTCAACGACTCGGGTGAAAAGGTAGTTTTGCCGAAAAGCACGGGATCTCGCCATTTAGCACTCTTCTGTTTTGCCGTGTGATGTCGAGGAAACGATAGATCCGCCCTTGGACCCATTAACATCATCAATTTGCAGAGTGTAAGCCCGTCGTCATTTCGACTTGACCTCCGAAGCGAGCCTTCTGGTTACCTCCGGTGCGACTGCGTGAGCAGTGCGAGATTGGTGGGAGCTGCAGTGTGACAGGTGGCACGTTCTTGAAAGCTTCCGCAAATTTCGGAGCTTGTTTTGCTTACGCAGCGACAAAACCATCGAAGATGAAACTAAAGCTGCACAGAAGGAGGCGGAACTGCACCAGAAACAAGTCGACAAAGTGCCGAACTCCCATGTGGCGCGAGCAGATTTCTGAGCCCAGAAACGTCGATTTTACATCTTTGCACCGATCATCGTCATTCTCTGGCGACGGGGCTCGGCATCACGGTGACGCTGCTGTGGTGCTGTACCAATGGGGCAGCCGGCTGCCTGCTGGGTTCGTCCGGACATGGATCAAATTTCCGATGCCATCAGATCCCAGCGGTCGGAGCTGCGGAACTTCCGGGGTGCGGAAACAGAGGAGGAGTGCACTAGCATTCGCGGAGTGTTGCTTCTTTCTTCGTTCCTGGAGTCGGCTTATGCTGCACAGCGTTACTCACAGCGCGCTACGACATCGAAGGCTTCAACTGGCAGATCGTGATCCTGTGGTTGGTGCCCATCGAGGCGTGGGGTTGCTTGTGCTACGGGTTCTGCACTGGGTTCTGCGAGACCGATCAAAGGCGGCAACATGAAACATCTTGCTGTTTAGTCTGGTGGCCGTGGCTGATTTTGAGACTTTTGGGTGGTGACCGCCTCGTCGCACAAACGCGTACCTCCAGCTACCCCAAAGCCAATCACTAGACAGGGCCATTCTGGACACTCGCGAAAACACCATCGCCTTTGAAGGCAGAGTAATTCCCACACGGAACAGTGTGGCCTCCTGGCAGGGCAAGTTTGAAACTGCTTGGGAGGACCTCGTTCAGGGTGCCAAGAAGCATGCCATCAGCTCGGCTGTCGTGTTCCTGCCTCAAGGCTCCGCGCATTTTGAAGCGCAGGACCAAATCCCAACCAAGGATGTCCGGGTTTGCCACCTCATCTCACGGGAGGTTGTTGGTGCACACCACTCTATGGTGAAAGCAAACCCTGGGGGTGCCGGTGATGGACCAAGTGGACCGCAAACATCGAGTTTGCAGTGCAAGATGGTGCCACCCTGGAAGTGTATTATTTCAATAATATGGTAGGCAAAGGCAAGGTCAGAGTTTCACCACAGCGGGTGAAGAACACTTGCGTCGCGAAAGTGTTTTGGAACGCAAACCCAAGAAATCA